GGGCGTGCTCAGCACCCGGCCCGTGCACGCCTACAAATTCTTCTTCAAGTCCATGGACCAGGACTTCGGGTCAGTCGGCCGCGGGGCCTGCGCGCGGGCGCGGGTCGCACCTGTCCACGCGGGGCAGGACCGCGGGGCCCGGGGCTGTCAGCGCGCCCCGCCAGGCGCCCGTGAGCGCGCCGCGCCCCCGCTCCCGTCGCGGGGCACGGATCTGGGTCTGCGCCTGCACCTGGTGGCCCTTGGCGGCGCCCCGGTGCGTGGCGTGTGTACCCACCTGTCCGTGCGGAGCTGGAGAGCCTGGGGCCCTGACTGCCAGTCCCGGAACCTGAGAGCTCTGCATGACCGGCAGGCGAGGGTCCTGGCTTCTCCACTGCCGTCGGCCTGCCGCGTGTGCCCTGGGGTCAAGGTTCACGGCCCAGGGCCACCCCCATCCTAGAGTCCCACCTTGGCCCCCTCACACTCAGGGTCTGCGGCATCTCTTCCTTAGAGGTTAGATACTGGGTCTCAGGGCTGGCCTGGAGGGTTTACCATTCGTGGGAGCTGGGGTCAAGGAAGCGTTACCAGGTGGTAGGGGCAGGGTCCCAACCACCCGGTGGATCCCTTTGTTGGGATGGGGAGAAGTGGGATGGGCAGGACAGGGATACCCATCTTGCTGCTAGGGTATGCAGAAGTTTCCAGAGGCTCAAGATAGGCTGGGCCGGCCTGTGGCTCACTCGGGAGAGTGCGGTGCTGATAATACCAAGGCCACGGGTTCGGATCCCATATAGGGATGGCCGGTTTGCTCACTGGGTGAGAGTGGTGCTGACAACACCAAGTCAAGGGTTAAGATCCCCTTACCGGTCATCTTTTAAAAAAAAAAAAAAAAAAAAAAAGATAGGCTCCCCAGGCCCCTTCTCCCGGGTCCTTATGACAGAGTGGAGATCAAGGGTCACTGGGGACCATGACGCTTCACTCCACTCATTCCTGCTGTAAGGTTCCTGGCCCTGGGGCCTCCATCCCTAGCAAGCCACACAGCTTTGCATGCCTGGGAGCAGCCAGGCCATCCGCTGACTTGGGGCAGCCTCTGGGCCAGTGTCTCCATGCCAGGCAGGTGGTGGCTGTCCCAGGTGAGGGGACTTCCCACTTGTGCTGAGCTGGGCCTCTGGGACAGGGAGCAGGAGGCTGGCTGTCTGCTTGAGGCCTGACCCAGCACAGCCACCGGTAACCCAAGCCCCCAGCTCAGTGATGCGGGGAGGCGGGGGACACAGAGACCTCGTGGGCCCAGCATATGGGCCAGCTACCCTCAGGCAAGCCGGTGTCCTTGTGTGTGGCCACATCTTGGGACTTTGACATTGAGGCCGTTTCCTGGATTCTGTGGTTGCACGGTCCCTGGGCAGCCCCAGGTCAGGTCAAGTTTGGGCCTCTCCATGGCTCTGAGGGTGGCCTGAGGGAAATTTGGACAACTGGACTCTTTTGCTCCCCACCAACTCCCACCTCCAGGGAGAATCAGGAAGGGAGAGTGTCTGCGGCAGCTCTGCAGGCTGGGTGTGCCCAGCTCTGCCTGGTGGCCTTCCTGCTGGCTCAGGTTGGGTCTGGTGGGAGTGGGGGCTTTGTTTACCAGGTCTGGTCTGGCCCCGCCTCCCCTTGCTGGGCGACCTCACACATTCTCTTTCCTTCTCTGAGCCTGGGCTGCTTTGGCTGAGAGCATCCGGTTTGTGAAAGAGTGCTTATGTTCTTAACTCAGTCTGTTATTTTAACAAAAATCACCAAAGTCACAAATGCCCGTTGTCACAAACTTATGCCACCAGGGAGCGTGTGGCAGGAGTGCACCCAGCCCCCCAGGCTGCCACCTCACACCCTGCTTTGGGTGCTTCCTGAGGGGACCCTGACATCTGCTTGTGACACCCACTGGGGGCTGCCCAGGAGCAGACATAGCCTACGTGCACTTCCAGGGGAAGGCCACTTTGGAGAACCCGTGGGTATCCTGACCTAGGAAGTGGGTGGGCAGATCTGGGCATTGAACTAGGAGTAGGAGTCCTTTGGGAAGTTTGGACAGGGCTAGGAATGTGTGGGGCATGGGGCAGGGAGCAGGCAGAGGAGCCTCAGGTTTCCCAGAGAGCTGGTGTGTTACGCTGGGAAGGGATGGACTGGGGTAACCCCGGGAGCCACACTGAGTGGGTGGGACAGGAGCCTTGGCTTATTTCCTCTTGGCCGGTAACCTAGTGGCCTTAGGAGCCTGGAAGAGGACCCCATGAGCTGTCTTCTTCCTCCTCTCCCAAGTTCTACAGGCAGAGCTCCAAGTTCTATTTATCCTATAAAATAACTTATTCAGTGGAATAAATTTCTGTTGGGAGGGGCTGGTCAGTCACTCACACTTTAGCATAAATGAGGGCTGAGCTGGGCACTTGCCCTGGATATCAGCTGAATGTAGCTGGAGTCTGAGGGAAGGGAAGGAAGGTCTTGGCTGGGCTGGGGCAATAGACCCCCCCTCCACGAGAGAGGTGGTCTCAGACTGAGGTCTGCGAGGAGCATCTGGGTGAATCTGGGCCTTCTCCAACCCCCGATCCCACTGTAGGCACAGCTCTGGGTTCCCTGAACCTCTGCTCCAAACCACAGCTGGCTACCTGGTGAGGAAGGGAACCTGAGGTTGTGGCCATGGCCCCATGCCCTGGGCTGGGCTCCACTCCCTATGTGTGTCTTTGTCTAAGTGGGCAAAGGTCTCCCACCCATCCCCCACTGTTCACGCACAGGTCATGGCTGTTCTAGGGTTGGGGGGTGCAAAGTTAGGGAGGGCCTGTGGTGGGCTGGCCCGGAGGCACCCCGTGCTGGGTTTTGGTGGTTGGCGCTTAGTTCATGTGCTTGGTGGTGGCCCCAGCCCCTCCGTCTCTGAGGGGTGGGTGATCCAGGCCCAGGGGCTAAGGGATGGGTGGAGGCAAGGGTCTCTGGGGCCACCTGCCTGTGGGCACAGGTGTTCAGAGGGCTCCTCTCTACCCTGCCTGCTCTGATGCTGGAGCCTGTATAGCCTGAGTCTGGGGAGGGTGCTCTGTACCACCTATGGGACAGGCTGGTCAGGAGTTGGTGCCTGCCCGCTGGTGAGGCAGCAGGCCCCGTGAGGCCGAGGGCCCATAGGGGTCCTTTGGCTTGGGGATGGCTCTGGGCCTCCCACCCCATGCCAGCTTGCTGTGTGGTGGGGAGGATGGGGTGTGGTTGGGGCTGTGTCACTGGGGAGGGCTGGCCTGTGGTGTGCTGGGGCCTCCAGGAGCCCCGAGGGTCCTCTTCTGCCTGCAGCTGCACTGGACTCCAAGGGCCCTGCCTCTGAGAGCAGATTCCTCCCTGGGGTGGGTCTGCAGGGGCAGCGGGCAGAGCCGGGCAGCCTTGAGTTAGAGGTTAACCAGGACGTTGCTAGGAATTCTCAGTGCTGGCTGGGGGTGCCCCTGGGTGGCCGCAACTGAGTGTCAGTGGAGCAGCTCCTGAAGCCCCTCTCCTGCCTGCGAGGTGAACCCCCTGAGGGAGCCTGTGGGTTGTGGGGGGGCGTCTCCCCCATGCTGTGGCCTCCACCCACCCTAGACCTTATCCTTGCTGTGGAGCCCCTGCAGAGGTCGTGCTGGCCACCTGCGGGCAGCATCCCGCACCCCCAGTGGAGAGCACTCCTGTCCCTCGTCCTGGGGCCCAGGTACCTGCTCCCCTGTTTGGCTGGGGTGAGGAGGGAGCTGGGCTCTCCTGGGATCTGGGTAGGTATCTGGCTCTGCTCTTCCTGCTCCAGCCTGCCTTCTTCCTGACCTAGCGGTGCTGGGGCCTGGGCTGCCCCCAGTGCCCCAACACCTGGACGGAAGGCAGGACGCCTTTCATGCCAGTTGGAAGACAGGGTTCCTCAGGCTGGGGAGCGCCGGGAGAGCAGGGCCCCAGGGAGTGGTGTCCACGTAGGGGTGGGGGGCGCAGTGTGGCTGCGGGGTCCCTCTGGATGGGGGGAGAGAGGCAGGGCCTTCTGGGGGAGCCAGGAGGGCCCTGTGTGTGGGTGCTGGGGTTGCTCACATCTCTCATGGTGAGTCAGAGAGGGCTGGGTCCTGGGCGCGGCAGGGAGAGGCTGCCGGCTGGGCCCACTTGGGCAGAGTGTTGGGGGCTGGGGAGGGCACCAGGTCCCTGCTGGGCCTCTGTGTGGTCCGGTCACTCAGTCTCACTGTGGTCTCAGGCCACGGGCTGCCGCTGGCAGTGCGCCAGGTGCCTGGGGGCTCCCCACCCCACCCCAGGCTGCCCTGGGTCTTCCTGTGCTGGCAGCCTCTCACCGTGGCCTCCTTGGCTGAGGTATGGCATGAGGGTCACCACCTCTCCTGGAAGCCGGCCCAGTTCTGCAGGGCTGTGGCTCGTGAGTGGGGGCAGCAGAAATGGGGGGTGTGATCCTGAAAAGTGCCCTTCTCTGCCATTGGAGGTGTCCACTGCATTGATGAGGCCTGGCCTGCATCGGGAGGCAGCTGTAGGGCTCTCAAACGCTGTGCAGGGTGGCTCTCCATGTCCCTGCCATCCACTCTGCCCTGTGGCCCAGGGCCTCCTCCCAGTGGATAGGTGGACTAGGGCCTTGTCTCCTGGGTGGGATTGTGGGGGCCAGCTCTGCTGGGGTCTCCTGCCTCCTGCTGTTGCCCAGGACTGGCCGAGTGGAGGTGCCCTGGGGACAGAGGGCCTGGAGCTGTGGGCAAGGGGCCCTGCAGCTGGCCTTGGGCCTCATGGGCCGAGAGGCTGCTTCCTGTCAGGTGTGCATCCGGGTCTGGCCCAGTCTCCCGGCTCCCGTTTCTCCACTGGGCCCAAGTCCCAGGCGTGGAAAATCCCACTGTGCTGAGCAGGGCTGGGTGCCGGGGGGGCAGGGTGTCCGGCTGCCCCTGCTGCAGGCCCTGCTCTACCGCCCCTTCTGAGCTGTCCTGGCTGTTGCCCTGACCCCTTTGAACCCTGACCCCGGGTATCCGGCCCCCTTCCCAGTGTTTGTTCCCTGGCCCTCTGTGTCCTGCCTGGGTGCCTCTGCCCCTCCCCCAAGCCCACCTGACCAAGCCGTGTCTCTGGCTGCCTTCCAGGTCTTGAGGTGGGGTCATGGCCCCCTGAGAGTCGAGGCTGGTCCAGGAGGGCAGCGGCTGCTTTGGGTCTGCATGCCATCTTGGCCCGCCTGTGCCTGTCTGGGGGTCCGACTGTCCACCTCTGTGCTGTGACAGGCTGGGGGGATGCAAGAGAGGAGCCAGACTCTGGTGCAGATGGGCACAAGCAGTATGGGTCCTACTGCAGGGTCCTGTGGGTGCTCCAGAGAGACCTGGGTGGGGAGAGGAGTGGAGGGGAGCTCATGGGCCAGCCCCAGTGGGTAGGCGGCAGGCAGGAGGAAGAGAGGTGGTTGTTGGGGAACTTTGGCTCCCCTGGGTGGGTGGGAGCTGCAAGTCTGAGTGTACGGTGGGTGGCTGAGGGGCTGGCGGGTGGGAGGGCCATTCTGGAATGGTTGGAAGGTGGGGCCTCGTGGTGTGGGGTGGATTTGGGGTGAGGCACAGAGACTAGTCAGTGGGAGTCCCGGGCACCTGGAGACAGGGAAGCCAGCGCAGGCCCGGGAGGAGCCTGCATGTGGCTCGGCCACAGTGGAGAGGTTGCCGCGGGGGAGTGTTGTAGGCAATGGCCCCCGAGCCCCAGGGCTGGACCAGGTCCCCGGGGGAGGGTGAGGTGGAGACAGGCCTGGATGAAGCCTGGGCCACACAGGGAGTTCCTCACCCTGTCTGTCTATCCCCCAGGGACTGGGGGCTGACTCTAGAGGAGAACGGGAGTCCTGGGCTGACTGTCTTGGTGCTGGTGGGGCATCCACAGACTGGCATCCATGCATGTGGCGGGCGCCCCTGTTTCCAGGCCCAAGGCTGGGGGGTCTGGTCTCTGGAGCCCACAGGACCGGCCCCAGGCATAGTGGTCTCATGGGCCATCTGCCTGCAGGGTGGTGAAGGAGGAGATCTTCGATGACAACGCCAAGCTGCCCTGCTTCAATGGCCGCGTGGTTTCCTGGGTGAGGCTGTGGGAAGCCTGTGTGGGTGCCTGTGTCCTGGCCTAAGGGTACTCAGTGGGGGTCCCAGTGTCCAGGAGCTGGGGTCCTTTTTGGGGGAGGTGGCGGGTGTGGGGTCGGGCTCTGGGAGGCTGGGTTTGGGTAGGCGGTAGGGGGCTGGTCACCTGTGCCCCAGACGCCCTGCAGGGGTTGGCCTGCCAGCAAGGGGGGTGTCCCAAGCTCCCCCTCTCCCTCTGCAGCTGGTCCTGGCTGAGGGTGCTCACTCAGATGCAGGGTCCCAGGGCACTGACAGCCACATGGACCTGCCTCCACCTCTTGAGCGGACAGGCGGCATTGGGGACTCACGTCCCCCCTCCTTCCAGTAAGGACTGTGGTGGGGCTGGGATCCCACTGGGCCAGGGAGGCGAGGGGGCCAGCCTGCCCATGCTACCCTGCTCTCATTGGCACAGCCCCAATGTGGCCAGTAGCCACGACGGGATGGACAATGAGACTGGCACCGAGTCCATGGTCAGCCACCGGCGGGAGCGAGCCCGACGCCGGAACCGCGAGGAAGGTACCATGGCTGTGCCTTCCCAGCCCTGGACCCCAAACCTCCCCAGGACCCTGTGGTGCACCTCAAGTTCCTGCCAACTTTCAGTTACTGCCCCCCAGCTAGTGGAGGTTCCTGGGTAGGGGGCCTAGGCCTGGTGATCCCCAGAGACCCCACAGTCACCCTGCCAGCTCCCACCCTGTGCTCCTGACCCTGCGAGCTCCAGGGGACCCCATGGTCAGCTCCTTCGTGGCTGCCCCCACAGCCTCAAGGCCCAATGGGCACCCGAGAGGAGACCGGCGGCGGGAACGGGGCCTGGCCCCGGACAGCGCCTCCACTGTGCTGAGCAGCGAGCTGGAGTCCAGTAGCTTCATCGACTCCGAGGACGATGACAACACGAGCCGGTGCGGTGGGCTGTGTGTGTGCCTGTGTGCGTGAGGTCACGTGTGTGCATGATGGTGCAGGTGGCTGGGCCAGCTGCATGTGTTCATGCGCCTGTGTTTGCCTGTTGGTGTGGGGTCTGCATGTGCTCCCGTGTACGTGTCACACGTGTAGGGTGTGGGGCGTGGATGCTGGAGCTGAGCCTCATCCTGGACACACCTGACCCCGGCCCTGCGTTTCCCACGTCTGGCCTGTCAGGAGCAGGTGCAGCCCTGCACCCCTACCCCCAGAACCTCTGACCTCTGACCTCCCACCCCCAGGCTGAGCAGCTCCACAGAGCAGAGCACCTCCTCCCGGCTCGTCCGCAAGCACAAGCGCCGGCGGCGGAAGCAGCGCCTTCGGCAGACAGACCGGGTAGGCGGTGGGGCTGGGTGCGGGTGCACAGGGTCTGCTGTCCTGCAGCCCCTCACCCGGGTCCCTCTGCAGGCCTCATCCTTCAGCAGCATCACCGACTCCACCATGTCCCTGAACATCATCACTGTCACACTCAACATGGGTGAGCTCCGGGGCAGGGGTTGCAGGGAGAGGGTGGGAGAGGGTGCGTTTGGGTCGGAGCCTGCTCACTGCCCCTCCCCCTCCGCCCCCTGCAGAGAGGCACCACTTCCTGGGCATTAGCATCGTGGGCCAGAGCAACGACCGGGGTGACGGTGGCATCTACATTGGTTCCATCATGAAGGGCGGGGCGGTGGCTGCCGATGGCCGCATTGAGCCTGGCGACATGCTCCTGCAGGTGTGGTCGCAGGGCTGCGGGGCTGAGGTGTGCACCCCATCACTGCCCTGACCCCTAACCTCTAGATACCCCCAACCCCAGGTGAATGATGTCAACTTCGAGAACATGAGCAATGATGACGCCGTGCGGGTGCTGAGGGAGATCGTGTCCCAGACGGGGTGAGACATGGGGTGGCGTGGGGTGGGTGGAGGGACCATGGGGCACTGTATGACCTGCCCACCCTACAGGCCCATCAGCCTCACAGTGGCCAAGTGCTGGGACCCAACCCCCCGGAGCTACTTCACCATCCCCAGGGGTGAGTGACCCCAGGGGGCAGGTGGGGTGGGTGGTTGGGGGTCACCTGGGCCCAGCCTGAAGGGCCTCTCTCCTCTGTGCCCCTGTGCCCTGCTCTCTCCGGCACCATACATCTGTCTGTCCATCGTATGTTTCCACGTGGTGGCTGCCCAGCTGACCCCGTGCGGCCCATCGACCCGGCCGCCTGGCTGTCCCACACGGCGGCGCTGACGGGAGCCCTGCCCCGCTACGGTACGAGCCCCTGCTCGAGTGCTGCCACGCGCACCAGCTCCTCCTCACTAACCAGCTCCGTGCCCGGCGCTCCACGTAAGTGGCAGCTCCCGTGAGCCCTAGCAGGAAACAGGCTCTGAGGGCGAGGGTCTGCCCCAGCCTTGAGTGCTGGTGCTCACGTGGTTGTCGCCAGGGCCCACAGCACGTGTGGCTCTGTCTCAACACCCTGTGCAGACTTGTACGCAGACAGGCAGGTGCACCTCACACAGCCCCACCCCCAATGTCGGGGGCAGGAGGTGTATGTAGGGGCCCCTGTTGTGGGTGCGCTGAGTGGGGGTGTAGGATGCGTGCGTGGCCCCCACTTTGCTTTCCTGCTGCTAACATGACTAACAGCCCTGAGCTCGCAGGGAAGGGGGACATGTGGGAAAGGAAGAGGCCTGGCCCGTCCCCACCAGGCTTTGGTCTGCAGGGTGGGGGTGGCCTCCCCCCAGTTTGGGCCCAAGATCCTGATGGAAAGAGTCTGCAGAGGTGGGAGGTGAAGGTTCAACCCCTCACCCCCGCCTGCTCCCAGAGCCTGTGGGGGACCATCCTGCGACGGGCACACAGCCCCCCAGGCTGGACTCCCCTGAGGGCCTGGAGTCCTCTGTGGCCTGTCCGTCCCGAGCCCTCCCCGTGCCTGGCAGGCAGGAGGGGCTGAGGAGGGGGCCGTGCCTTGCAGAGCTGGAGGAGGCACCGCTGACAGTGAAGAGCGACATGGGCGCGGTCGTTCGGGTCATGCAGCTGCCAGACTCGGGCCTAGAGATCCGCGACCGCATGTGGCTCAAGATCACCATCGCCAACGCTGTCATCGGTGAGTGGCCATCAGCCACTTGGCCAGCTGTGGGGGGAGGGGCTGAGTCAGGGCTGCCCGGGGCTCTGCCAGCCTGACCTGCGGCGTGTGGCCAGGGGCGGACGTGGTGGACTGGCTGTACACGCATGTGGAGGGCTTCAAGGAGCGGCGCGAGGCCAGGAAGTACGCCAGCAGCATGCTCAAGCATGGCTTCCTGCGGCACACAGTCAACAAGATCACCTTCTCTGAGCAGTGCTACTACGTGTTCGGGGACCTGTGCAGCAGTGAGTAGGGGCTGGGGCTGCGGCTGGGGTTGCTGGAGAGCCCGTCGCTCTGCCCTCACCTGCCCTCCGCTCCCCTCCTGCCAGATCTTGCAGCCCTGAACCTCAACAGTGGCTCCAGTGGAGCCTCGGATCAGGACACACTGGCCCCGCTGCCCCACCAGGCTGCCCCCTGGCCCCTGGGTCAGGGCTATCCCTACCAGTACCCGGGGCCCCCGCCCTGCTTCCCACCTGCCTACCAGGATCCCGGTTTTAGCTACGGCAGCGGCAGCACTGGGAGTCAGCAGAGTGAAGGTGAGCTCAGCCAGGCCCCCATGCCCGGCTGCTGCCCTGCTGCCACCCCCGCCACCTGGTCCTGCCCTTCCCCTGCTGCTGTTGCACGCACTCCTGCTGTGTGCTTGGGCCCTGGGTGAGCTCCTTCCAGAAGGGGTGAGTGCCAGGGAGACCAGGGAGCTGGTGCGTGAGGGGAGGGTCAGGGAAGAGTTTGACTCGGGGACAGCCTGGACCCCACCTCACCTGGGTTGAGGGAGGGTGGGGATGAGGGGCCTCAGGGAACCTGGAGGCTGTGGTGGTCGTGCATGGCAGGGGTAGGGGCAGGTGTTCCAGGTGTGGCACAGGTAAGAGGACAGGTGACGGCTTGGCAAAGGGGTGTGTGGCAGGACCGGGGATGCGGGTGGCTGAGAGCGTCAAGCAGGGTCACTCTCTGGCCCCACGACACGGGGAAGGTGGGGCTCAATCTCCCCTGTGGCTCCTGCAGCCAGGCAGGGAGCCAGATGTGAACAGTGCCATAGACAACTCCGTCCCCATGGCTAGGATATGTGGGGAACTGGGGAATCGGGAGTGTCCCTGAGGGGGTGACTTGCTATGTAGAGGCCTGAGGCCCAGTGGGTACAACGAGGTCAGAGGACATGCCTGCAGGGCCTGTGAGGGGTGCAGGCAGTGGCCTGGGAGACCTGGAGAAGGATGGGAGACAGAGGAGAGGAAGGCTGGGGTAGTGGTGGGCCTGGACAAGCTGTCTTGGGGTGTCCTCGGACCCTGGACAGGCCTTTGCACCCACCCAAGCCCGAGCCCGCAGTCAGGCCCAGCTGGCGGCAGGTGTGGGTGCCCAGTCCGGGCCTGGTGTGTAACTCATGCTATCCCTTGCTTTGTGCTGAGCAAGCCTTAGACTGAAGGACTAGCGGAGTGGACCCTCGGGGCCGGTAAGCCAGGGTCCTGCCCAGCACCCTCTCAGCATGTCCCCAGCCAGCCCAGGTCCTCAGGTTCCTGCCCTTCCTGGGAGCCCAGGACAGGGCCTGAGCCAAGTAACTGGCCAGGGCCCCAGAGTTGGGTGGATAGTGGGTCTTAGGGTGGGGAACCCAAGATGGCCGCCGGGAGCACCGGGCACAGGGGGGCCTTCGCTGGTGCTGTTTCTCAGCTGCAAGACCAGGCCGGTCCAGGTGTCGGGGTGAGGTGTGGGGTGCCACCTGCCTGCTGCAGCTGCTCCTGCTTCTCTGGGTGGTGCCGGCCCCACCCTGAGTCTGCATGGCTGTCCCCCAACCCCCACCCTGGCTTGGGACCACCTGGCCTTGCCTCTGGTTGCCTGGCAGTGGCTTGTCGTCCTGGAAGTGACCCAGCCTGGTGCTGACCCCCCTTTCCTCTTCCCTTCTTGTCCCAGGGAGCAAAAGCAGCGGGTCCACCCGGAGCAGCCGTCGGGCTCCGGGCCACGAGAAGGAGCACCGGGCAGCCGGAGCCGGGGGCAGCGGCAGCGAATCAGCGCACACGGCGCCTAGTGGGACGGGCAGCGGCTGGCGGGAGCGTCCGGCCAGCCAGCTCAGCCGTGGCAGCAGCCAGGCCTCGACCGTTGCCCCGGGGCTCCCTCCGCTGCACCCCCTAACGAAGGCCTATGTGGCGGTGGGTGGGCCGCCCGGGGGGCCACCTGTCCGGGAGCTGGCTGCTGTCCCCCCAGAGCTGACCGGTAGCCGCCAGTCCTTCCAGAAGGCTATGGGGAACCCCTGCGAGTTCTTCGTGGACATCATGTAGTCCATTGCAACACTTTCAGTTGTGTGGTGCGTGGCTGCAGTCCTGGGGCAGCCACCGCCCTGCTGCGCCCAGCGGGGTGGGCTTGTCTTAGTGGTGGCCAGCCTGGGACAGGCCAGCCTGTGGGATCTGGGCCTGGGTGGGCAGTGGGAGCACTGGAGGGGAGAGACTGAGGACGGCCTGGACGTAGCCCATCTGCTCCTGGGGTCTTTCCTGGTGGGGAGCAGGTTGTCATATAGATCCTCAGGGGAGAGTCCATCTCTGTCCTCAGGCAGATCTGACCCACCCCCTCAGCGTGAGCCTCAGGGACCCCCACCCCTCCTTGGTCTGGAGGCGACCCCCTCTATGAGGAAGACCCACTTGGGCACCATGCCACCCCCCACTCTCCTAATGAGCTGTGCACGGGGCCCAGACTGAACGAGACCAGCACCCCTCCCCACCCAGCTCACAGGCCTGCCCATCTGGCCCTGGAGGGGGGCCCTCGAGGGGATTAGAATCTGTGGCTGCCCAGAGTAGGGGTCTAATTTATTTATTTATTACCTGGCCTGTGGGCTCTGGGGGAGGCGTGGTCAGGTCAGTGCCACCCCTGCCCAGCAGGAACTGAGTCTGCATGTTGTCCCCTCCCGAGCGTGTGGACAACAGGTTGGTGGGAGAGACAAGAAAGAGGCCAGGCGGGAGGGGAATGTGACCCTAAGGGTCAGGGGGCATGGATGTGCACAGCTGTTGCGGGGATGGGGTCGTGGGGACATGGGAGGGCAGCTGGGCCTGTCCTCCCTGTCCCTGGGTGAGCGCCTGCCCACATACGTGCTTGCCTTCCTGGCGTCTCTGGCCCTGCACCTCTGTGCTGTAGATATTGTATCAAAGTCCCAGCATCCGGCTAGTTAACATAGAGCTGCTTCCGTGTAAATGCTGCTTCTATGTAAATGCTATTTTAAACACTAAAAATCATTTAATTTTGTGGGGCTGATGTGTGGCCTGTGTCTCTTCTCTGTGGCTGTGCTGCCTTAGAACACAAGCATGGGGTCTGGCCCAGCCCCCGCCGAGTGCCCTGCCGAGGGCTGACCCTGGGACTCTGACTCGAGGCCCTGCCCAGGCTTGGCTGGGTGCTGTGCTCCAACTCTGGCAGCTCCGAGGCTCTGTGCTCGCTGCCAGCAGGATCCTGGTGGGTGGTTTTCTGTCCGTGGTACTGGCTCCTGGCTGCAGGGGTCCTGGTAGCTGGTGCTGGCCGTGGTGCTGACCCCCTCCTCTCCCTGGGCTCTGTCCGCGGTGCTGGGGTGGGCTCGACCCCACTCTGCCCACTCAGGCTGGGCTGGGGAGAGAAGGAAGCTGCGTGCCCCCCTCGCCCTGAGTGGCCTCTGCTCTGGGGCCCACGGTCAGGGCACACACCCAGGCCCACCCACCTGACCTCCCATTCCTGTGATGGTGGCTGGGAGGGGCCCAGGCTGGGCCTTCCGATGGCCTGGTTGGGGGCTTTCCTGCTTCCTTTCCTGAGCGCACCATGGTTTCAAGGAACCCTCTGTGGGCCTCCTTCTGCAGCAGTGGGCTGGGTCACCTGGGCAGGCCTTGGCAGGGGCTCGGCAGGAACGGGGACAAAGCTGGACTCTGGGGCTCTCGGTGGGGGAGGGTACACTGGCTCCTGTATGCTGCAGGCTGTGGGTTATTGTGGGGTCAATGTCAGCAGACAATTTTCAGAACCTAGAGCTGGGGGGCCGCGGGCACAGTCTGGGGGCTGCTGGGTTGGGGAGGTTCTTGACTATGTCTCACTGAGGATGAGGTCACTGGGTCAGGGGTCACTTGTTTTTTCCCTGACTCTCCTCCCCATCCCCACTGCTGCCCCTGCCTCTGGCATCCCCGGGACCCCTTCCCAGGAAGAACTCGGGAGTGTTGAGCTCTGGCTGCCACAGCAGCATATAACACTTGGGCAGGTGGAAGGTGGTCAGGATGCCCAGGGCACAGAGGACGATGGCACCCATGTGCACCACAGGCTGGTAGGTCACTGGCACGTTGGCCAGGAGTGGCACGAAGGACACCCAGGTGATGAAGTAGGCCAGCATGGCAAACGTGAGGCTGCGGGCGCAGCTGTAGCGGCCAGGTTGGCTCTGCACCAGGAAGGTACCCAGGAAGCACAGGAAGGCCAGTGTGGCATTGGTGGCGTGCACAAGGCTGAAACTGAGCCAGGAGCGCACGTGGCAGTGGACCAGCCCCTCCGTGGGCAGGACCTGCCAGTCCGTCACCACCTCTGGCGGGAAGGCCATGAGGAACCAGGTGCACAGTGCGGCCTCCACCGAGATGGCCAGTAGCACCACCAACCAGGCCCAGGGCCCCCGCAGGCAGCCGCACAGCCAGTCTGCCCAGCTGGGTGGCAGCTCTGACTCCACAAAGATCTCGGCCGCCTGCAGGAAGAGTGTGCTCAGGCAGCCTGTGAGCGGGACGTGGCACAGGGGCTGCTGGACCAGGCAGCTGGCAGGGCTGGGCCGGCCGGGAAACAGGAGGGCGCTGAGGCAGACGAAGCCCAGGCAGCCCAGGCCGAAGCAGGCCAGCGGCCCGCCCGAGGCCCGAACCAGCGGGCTGTCCTGGTAGTGAGCGAAGAGCCCCAGGGCGGCCAGCGCCAGGCCCAGCGCCAGACCCAGCAGCACTAGCAGCACCAGCACCACCGGCTCCCCCCACGCCAGGAACCTGGGCTTGCGGGGGAGGCAGCGTGTGCTCCGCTCTGGAGACCACTGGTCCTGCTCACACGGGGTGCAGATGAGGTCGTCTGCAGGAGGGGGCAGAGAAAGGGTGCTGGGGGGACCACCACTGGGGGACGTGGCCCCTGGGCCTCACATCAGCCCAGAGCTGGGTCTCGGCGTGACCCCTGCCCAGGCTGCACTCCTGCTCCCCTCCCCCCACACTCAGGGCCTTGCTGTGGAGGTGCTCACCTGGGCTGTGCCGGTAGCTGCCTGACCTGCAGTCCACGCAGTCGTAGCAGCAGGAGTGGAAGCCCTTCACGCGGCGCACCTGGCCCTCGCTGCACTGCTGCGAGCACTGGGACACCGGCTCCTGGGCATGGGCCTCAGGGTCTGGCTCTGCTCAGCTGGGTGGACCTGCCCAAGACCCGGGATGGCCCCCACCCCGAGGCTGCGCCAGCTGCAGGGGCTGCTTTGTGGGCCTCACCTGCACGCCCTGCACTCACCTCGTTGTGGGGCGTGTGCCACCACATTCGTGAGCGCCACAGCTGAAGGCTGCCGTTGAAGGTGCCCACAGTACGGAGATCAGGCTGTGAGTCCCGCCACACCCACAGCTTCAGGTCGTACTCCCTGTCCATGTTCCCACTAGCATCAAACCGCAGCAACACGCCGCGCACGCGGAAGCTCAGGTTGTACATATTGCCCAGGAGCTGGAGGTGGGGACGGGGCTGAGCCAGAAGCCACCTCTGGCCAAGACGGGTTTGGCCCCACCTGCTGCCCAGCCCACGCATGGGCGGAGGCCGCGACACACCCGGCCCCAGTGCCCTCACCTGCCAGGGCTGCACAGGCTTTCTCCTGGGGCAGCCCGAGGCGTTACACTGCAGTGTGTTGTGCAGGGCCTGGGCCACGCTGTACACCGCTGCGTAGGCAGGGAAGGTCTGGTGATGCATCAGCCCGGCCGACAGGTTCTGCAGCGTGATGTCGTCACACTGCGGGCAGCGTGGCCCCACCACGTCATCCTCCAGGCCAGGCTGCTCAGCCTCTAGTGAGGCGCAGAAGGCCGGGTCTGCGGCCCGGGCCAGGTGGGTCTCCACATAGTGGGAGAACTCGGGCAGTGGGGTGCCCCGCTGCAGGAAGCCAAGCACGGTGCCCACCTGGGCCATGCCAGGCAGCGCCATGACCATGTCAGAAGTCAGCCAGGTCTCACTGGCCACCCAGACTTTGGGTGAGAGATTGTAGTCGATGCAGTAGCTGAAGAGGGCGTGGGCAGCATGGACGGAGGCAAACAGCACCACCACCTGCACGTTGCTCTGGTTCACCTGGTGCAGCAGGTCCTGCACCCTGCCCAGCCGTGAGCCATCGAAGCGGGGCACTGGCACCAGGCCCTCGTGGGCGATGCAGATGCCCTGCGCGTTGGCCAGGCTTGAGAAGATGCCCAGGCCTTCCCGGCCGTACTCGTCGTCGCTGCCCAGCGCAGCCACCCAGTTCCAGCCGAACTGCTGCAGTAGCTCCACGGTGGCCGTCAGCTGCACACGGTCACTGGCCACTGTGCGGAAGAAGGAGGGGAAGGTCTCCCGCGAGCTCAGCCGGTCCATGCTGGCACCGTAGCTGACCTGTGGAGCCGAGGGGCGCCTCCTGAGGTGGGGCTCCCCAGGTGGGGCCGGGTGGGGGTGGTGACTCAAGGGGGTGGGGCCCACCTGGGGCATGAGGAAGAAGCTGAACAACTTGCCAGTGACGAGGGCCAGCTCCGAGGAGTGGGGCCCTATGACGGCCAGCACGCGGGGCTGGTAGCGTGTGTAGTCGCAGTAGGCGGCGATGTTGCGGCTGCGCTCCTTGGCCAGGAACACGAGGCTGGGCTTCATGGCGACCACGGGCTCCGAGCACGTGTCAAAGAAGTCATGTCCCAGGCGCAGCCCAGGCAGCAGGGCCGACGCATTGTTGATCTCCTCCACGGCCATCTTCACAGCCAGTGCCCACAGCAGGCCAAGGGACTCGAACCTGAGGCCACATGGGGCTGCAGGTGGCTGCCTTGTCCCAGGCTCGGGAGCACTGCGAACCCATGGACCCCCAGCCCCCAGCTGCTCCTGCCTCCGTACCTGGTGCACACGATGCTGTTGGGCCGTGTCCTGTGCTGGAGGTCAGCCGCCACAGTCGAGCCCAGGGGGAAGAGCCCGCCCAGCACGTAGTCCCCTTGCATCCTGAGTTGCCGCGACAGGCACAATGGGGCCCCCATCGCAAGGCCCAGGAGAGCCGCAAGGCTGAGGCCTAGAATGGCAGAGCCTGGCATGGCAGGTGATGGCTTGCACAGGGTGTGAAGTGGGTGTACCAGGAGGCAGCCCAAGATATAGTGAGTCCAGGGGGAGGGGCAGAGGATTTGCTTAGCAAAACCCTCACCATCCCCACCTGCCATGCCTCCGGGGACCCCTGGCAACGTCCTCACTTTCCTGGCTCAAAGGCTTGTGCAGGCTGGGCTCTTGTCCTGACACCACTGCAAGGCTCTGTCAGACAGAGGCCTGGCAGGCAGGCTCCGAGCAGCTGCTGACAGTGGCCTTGTTACCTGCCTATGCCCAAGCCCCTAGGCACCCCGCCCCCATTCCTGGAGCTGCCCAGCAGACTAGAGAAGAGGAGGAGGGGCAGAGGGGTCCTGGGGTCTCAGCTGATTGTGGGAGGGGTGAGGAGGAGCCAGGGCAGAAACAGTCTCTCCAGCCCTGGGAGATTTCTGGTTTGCAACCCAAAGCTGCACTATCAGTAGTCAGGGTGCGGTGGGGTAGCCCCTCCAGTCCTACAGACCAGCCAGGCCCCTGCCCTGCAGCTGGGGTGGGATTGTCTGTGAGCAGTGTGCTGAGGGTCTTGGCTACTCCTCTGCTGGTGGTCTGATGCCCAAAGCTACGTGAACCATGTGGCCAGCTGTGCCCACACTGGCTTGACCCCTGGCCTGGACACTCCCCACTGGGCCAGTGTGCAGGTGCTCTCTTGGGGGACAGAGCTCACAGCTGGGCCTGAAGAGGGTCCATGCAAACAAGGGAGGAAAGGCCATAACCAAATGGGCCTGTGCAGATGGGTCAGCACCAGCCATGTGGGGGTGGGGGTGGCCCCGAGAGGCCAGGCAGTTCTCACTCAGTCTCTGCGTGGCTCTGGGCCTGTGTCCTATTGGCCTGGGTCTGGGAGAGCCTTACTGACACCCCAGGTTCTGGGGGTGGAGAACAGCAGGACCCATGCAGCCACAAAAGCAGGGGGTGGTTGGTCTCAGCCTAGCTAGGGCCGTCAGATGCTCACAGGGAGGTGAAACCTGGCCCGTGCCGCCTCCTTGCAAGGGAAGGCCCCCGAGGAACACACTCACACAAGCACACGCACGCACACAAAGCCCACTGTTCTCCTAGGCCAGTCCCTTGTGATCACCACCTTTGGCCCTGGCCCCTGCATGTGCGGGGCGAGCTAGACCCTGGGGCTGGATGCACTGCCCGAGGACCCGGCCCATGTGCATCTTATTTCCATCCAGGCCGCTGAGCAGCCCTCAGTCTCCACCAGCCACAGCTGGGGCAGGTCTCTCCCCGTGCCCTACATGGTGTGGCCTCAGAACTGCCCTCCCGACCCAGCCCCTCCCCACCGCCGGCCTCCATCTGGGGTGAACCTTGTGCCTGAGGCAGTCACTGCCCTTCCAGCCAGACAGTGGGGCCTCAACCCCCTTGGGATCAAGGGACACCCCCATGTTCTTCCCCTAGGTGCACCCCAATATCCCTTCCTGGAACGCTAACTCTGGATCCATAAACGTAATTTATTTATGTTGGAAAAATATCACACATATTAGTTTCCAAGTGACCGAGTGCACCTGAAAGCTTGCACATACGCACATCTGTTGCATGGTGGACACTGTCCCTGTGGCGCCCCAGGGCCTGGGGTCCACTACAAAGAGCCAGTAGAAGAGGCCAGGCCCCCAAGCGCTGGATGGCAGCCGGGCTGGGCGTGGCCATCTGACAGCCTGTGAGCTGGGCAGTGGGGTCCAGCCCCCTCCCTATGCCATGCCCTACCTGGGTCTCCTGAGCACCCTGGGGACATGGGCAGCAGGAGCAGGGGAGAAGGATTGGGGCATCTCTCTGGGTACTGAGGAAGAAGAAACCAGGCTTGGCCCAGTGGAGCTCTGATCTGAGGGGACAGCCTGCTATGTCCATCAGGGAGCTATGCCAGGCAGGGGCACCAAAGGAGACTGTCCTGAGGGCAGGGCAGGACTTCCCAGGACCTTCTGTGGGAAGCCTTGTCTTGGGGTTTCAGCACCTGGCTGTCACTGCCAAAGATGCGTGAGTCCCTGACCTGCTCAGCATGCAGAGGCTAGCAGGGGGTAAGGAGCAGGGAGAAAGCCCGCAGTGCCCAGACCACTGCTCCAGGATTCTCTCCCTGCCCTGGGGACCATCAGCCTGGGTAAGGAGAGGACCAAGGCACCTGGGCAGGTGCCATTCTGTGGGCCTAAGCTGGGCAGATTAGTGGGCGGGGAGGATGGAGTCTCTGTGACCTCACCCCATTGCTCAGATTTGACTCGCAGGTGGGTGGTGGGGGGCACCTCCTGGGCTTTTGCACACACATGGATCCTGCCCCAGGCCTGACTGCACACACAAGGTTGAGAAGCATCTCCTCCTGTACTGAGCCAGGTGGCCTGAGCGGGGGCTAGCTGCCACCTTTCCTGCTGCAGTCTGGGGCTCCTGGCAAGCTCACCTTGCAGGGGCAATGGTGGATCTTCCATCCTTAGGGTACCCAAAAAGATGTGTCATGGGACTCATGGGCCCTGGCTGCCCGAGCCCAGCCCTGCAGCAGGGGAAGCCCACCCGGCCTGAGCCCCCCACCACTAGGGCAGGTCCAGCAGGGAGTGCTTAGCATAGAGCTTCTGGGAGACATCGTAGACATGCTCGATGAAGGGCAGGGCCTCGCCCAGCATCTCCACGGCCTGCTCAGGAGACCCCACATTCATGGTCTCTAGAAAGACCTTGCGGGTGGGCAGAGTGCAGAAGGCCAGGGTGACGGCCCGGCGCACAATCCAGGGGTGGTAGGCGGCTAGCGAGGCATTGTAGGAGTCGGTGCAGAGCACGGCGGTGCGCGCGTCCTCGGGGCTGGTGCGCAGGCTCTCCAGGAATAGCTGCAGCCAGCGCAGGGCACGATGCAAGCGAAGCACCGTCCGGCAGCCTGAGTCAGGGTGGCGGGAGCGGCGCTCCAGGTCCACCAGCTGGTTGCTCACCTCGTAGGCCACCATGGACTGCAGGCTGCTGTAGTGCTCACGCTGTGGGCTGCTCTGCAGGCGCTCCATGATCTGCAGTTTCGTGACCACATCCTTGGAGATGAAAGAGAAGATGGTGCCCAGGCTGTTCAGAAACCTGTGTGAGGAGGAGGAGCCTGAGTTCCTGCCTAGGCCCCAGGCAGCCGGCCTGGGGGTGCACTGCCCCGAGCCTCATGGGACACAGGTCGACGGCCGGCAGGGGCAGGAAGTCTGGGTGAGAACAGCTAGCCTGCTCGCCCCCCCGTGCCCAAAGTGCGTAGGAGCCTGGTGCTTACAGTGCCAGGAGGGACCCTGGTCAGGAAAGCCCCCAAGCACGCACCTAACCAGACCCTTCCAGCTGGCGATGTAATGGTCCAGTAGCACCTCTTCCCTCTCGTTGAGACACTGCTTGAAACTGACCAGGACGACCTTCAGATTGAAATCTGTCTCTAAATCATCCATTTTTCGATGTGAACTGAAACAGACAAGAGTTGGGCTGATGGGATGCTGTCCTGTGGATCAGCTTACTCTGTGGCTCACTTTATCAGGAGCAGGGGACGAATAATTGGAAATAAATAGCTGGGATCCTACTGCTGACCACTGAAAGCCCATGATAATGTACCACCCCTCAAACTGAATTCCCTCCTAGGAGACCACCTCCTCCCCAGAAGCCGCTGGCTCTGCTCCAGGCCAAGCTGCACACTCTCAGGCACACCAACCTGACCTTGCCAAGCCTTGTACCTGGGTCACACACCCACAGACTTTGGCATGGACCTTCCTCGTCATTCGGGCCACTGATGTGGGTCAGTCCCTGATCCCTGTCTCTGAGCGACCCCTCTGGCTTTGTCAGACCACTCTGCTGTGTCCCACTTGCAGCAGGCATCTCTGCTGATTCTTTCTTGCTTATTTGTTTTTTGTTTCTGTCGCCACAGTCTGTGTCTGCTTTTGCTGGCTGGAGAAATATTTACTGAGCCTCTCCCTCCTAAGAGCCAGGCACTGCTCCAAGCACTCGACGAGTGAGTGGCATCAACAGCCCTGCCCTCCCTGACAGGGTGACATCCTAGTGGGGGTGGGGGTGGAGTGTCAAAAAATAAAAGATAAAATGAGGCAAAACACTTTTTTTAATCTTTTGGAACCATGGTCCGGGTGGAAGTTATGTTATATCCTGATACAAAATCCTCTGAAAAAAAAAAAAAAAGAAAACAAACAAAAAAAAGACAAAGTTCTGACATAGTAGGTAAGGAGGAATAAACGCTGTGGAAAATAGGGGTAGGGGCACGCCGAGAGGGTGGGAAACGTGGCAGGGCAGGCTGGCCCCTCCCTGCTCACCGCTGCATCCCCAAAGCCAGAGCAGAGACTGTGGGGTGGATCTTTGCTGGATGGACACATGGATGGACAGACGGGCGACACCAATCTTTTCACTCCTGCTGCTGACGCTGTACAATCCCGCACACAAGGGTGGCTGGGCCAAAGGTGTTGCCACACTCAGAAGACCCCCACAAGGCCCTCCCCCAGCCCCAGGGATTCTGCTCGCATTCACAGTCACTCCACAGACACGCAAGCGCCGTGCCTCGAGTGGGGGCGGCCAGACGCCACTGCCCCTGCCTCCCCGGGTTCCCCAGGGGCCTCAGCCTGTCACCCAGGGCTGGCACCGTGGGGCTGCCTCTCACTTCGTGACCAGGAGGAACTCTCGCCCCACGGGGCCGGGGCTTCCTGCGCCCCTTGGTGCCGGGCGCCCGGCGGGAGAGGGCGGCCAGCTACGCTGAGCCGGCGGGGCAGGGGACCCGGGTCCTCGAGAGGTCTGCCTCCCCTCGGCGGACGGGCTGCTCGGCGTCCCGCCTCGGCTGCTCACGTCTGGGTGCCGAGCCCGCAGGCCGGGCCCACCGCGGGGCGGCCCCAGGCGGAGCCCCCAGGCTCGCTTACCCGTCCTCGGGTGGGACGGCCGCGCCTGCGCCTCCGGAAGAGTCGCCCCAAGCCCTCGCTCGCTCCGGCCGCGTCTGCGCTGACCGAGGCCTCTGCGCCTCTGGGCCGCCTGCTCGGACCGGGCTGGCAGCCTGCGGGGGTGGCCGGGGGTCCGGAAGGGCGGGTGCAGGCCGGGAGGGCCCCGCCCCACCGCCCTGAGTGGCTGCCGGCCGCCCAATCAGGAGGCCCGACGCGCCGGGCCGCGTTTCCGGCGAGCGGGCCGGAAGCTGGCGCCCTCAGGGTCGCGCCTGCGCAGTGCGTCGCCGAGCGTCGCGGGGGTCCGCGGCTCTCCTGCGGACGGGTCGCGGCGGCTCGGGGAGCGTGACCGGGACGATGCCCGAGATCAGAGTCACCCCCTTGGGTGAGTCGGCCCCTCCGGGGCGCCCGTGGGAGGAGCGGGCGGGCCCGGCCGAGCGTTCGCTGCGCCCCGTCCGGGAGCGCGGTGGCTGTGCGCGGGGACTTCTCCCGCTCCCGGCGCTGCTCGAGCCGGGCCACCCGCAGTCAGCCCTCAGCTCGGCCTGGACCCACCTGATGTCTGCGGCGTGGGAGATAGCGTTGCTTTCTGCAAAGCAACATAAATGCACACTTCTGAAGGCCTCAGTGGCACAGAACAGCGCAGGGGAGGAAAGAATCACTCGAAATCCAGGGCCCCGGGAACGACTGGGGTTGTCGTTTTGGTGGCCAACCCTCTGGGGCGTCTCTGGGCTTTCCTCGTACACACGTGTCTCCGGCCGCCCCGGAACCTGCTTCCTTCACTGCCCGTCCCCTGGTGTGAGCGCCTCCTGGAATGAGCCCGCCCAGCCCCTGGTGTGGACACTGAGCTGTTGACAGCCTGAGGGAACACTCCTGGCCTGCCAGCTGATAGTCCACACCCTGTACCACCAATCCAAGCTGTTCGCACGGGGTCACCTCTGCTGTCCCCTGCCCAGGGCTGCTCTCCAGGGGCCTCTGCGGGCTCTTCCTTCAGGCCTACCCCACTCTTCCGGCCCGATCCCTTTCCCGCCTGTTCTGCCCACTTTCTCCAAGCACAGGCCTTTGCACGGCTCTGCTCCCGTCCTAGCAGTCCCTCACTGCCCTGCTCAGAGGCTGTCTTCTAGAGAAGGGCTTTCCTGTCATGGTTCTGCAAGTTTATGAACACCCTCTTCCTCCCCTCCCTTGCTTTTCTCCATCACGGTCCTCTCCATCTGATACACCCAGGATGTCATATTTACTTAGTTGTCATCTGTCTCCGTGCCCTAGCATGGGAGCTCCACGTGGACGAGGATGTCTCCTTTGTTTTCTCCTAAGTCTGTTGCCCTCCAGCATGCTCAAAGCTGTCCCCACATCACTGCCCAGTTCAGGCAACTGTCTGCTCCCTGGAATTGCTGTGGGTCCTGCTGGGAGGCAGGACTGCCAGCACCTAAGAGCTGGGCTTTGGAATCTGAAAAAACGAACTTGATACCATGCTTAGTGACCTTAGGTCCTCTCCTGTGAAACGGGCGGCCTCTGAGCCTGGCACAGCCTTGGGGCTGGAGGCGCAGCAGGAATACAGCTGAGAGCCTGCCCTCAGGGAGCCCATGTTCTGGTGGGAGCAGGAACAGGCCTGTCAGAACCTGAAATCCCTGCCAGTGGCTGGGCTGCCTGAGGTGGGCAGGCTCTGGGCCATGGCCCTGCCACCCTTGTGTGTGTGGTGGCAGAGAGAGGCATGTATTCATGCCTTCCAGATTCAAGGTGGAAACCAGGCCATTTGTTGTCTTCAGACCTCTGCTGAGACACAGGCTATACAGAGGCTGTGTCCCTTTCCTTGTGGGTCCCAGACCCCAGAGGAGGTAACACAAGGTCACATGGGGGGGCCTGGCCAAGGTCTCTGGCAGGAGCAGCTGGGTGGGACTGCTTGCTGGTCAGGACTGGAGAAGAACTCAGGTTAGGGTCTGAGTTGGGGGATGCCTCAAGCTGCCCGGCAGTGTGAGGCCTGTGTTGCCCATGTGTGGGTTGGAGCATCTATGCCGTGGCCTCAGGCGGGCATTCTATTTCCCTGTGGTTGGGCTGAGGCCACATGGGTGTTCCTTTGTAGTGGCACCACCAGGAGGTGCCTAATGCCAGAACTTGGGCACCCAGACCTCTGTGCGTGCTTAGGGACAGGTCCTGGGGAGGAGGCCTCATTGGTTTGCGGTGAGTCCCTGCAGAGCAATAGCTTGCTTCTGCTGGGTGTTGGGGACCACAATGCAGTGCCCATTTCTCAGTCAGCAGATCACTGAGACCTTGAGAGTGCAGGGGAAGGAGGGGTGGAGGGCATGTAGGCCCTGGGCCTTCACCCTGGGCTTGGCGACCTGTGCCTCATCCCCTCCCAGTGCATTTCCCTCCCCCATGAGTGGAGGTGGTCATGCTTCCCCCCTGCACATCTGTCCACACAGTAGCCCGAGGGTCCAGTTTTCTCACCCTACCAAGGGCTCTGAAGAGCTTGTGAGGCAGCAGGGTGGGGGTGGGGGAGAAGGGGACTTGGCAATGCCTCTCACCTGCCCTCTCCTTCGAGTAGGGGCTGGTCAGGATGTGGGCCGCAGCTGCATCCTGGTTTCCATCGCAGGCAAGAATGTCATGCTGGACTGCGGGATGCACATGGGCTTCAACGACGACGTGAGTCCTGGGGTGGATGGCCCAGAGGGTAGGCACTGCCACCCAGGTTGATCCTCATAGCCATCACAGCAGGCCCCCAGGCCTTGCACAGAGACAGAAGGCCCAGTGGGAGGTGGTAGGCATGGCTGGACAGTTGCACCCTGTGTGAGCTGGGGGTGGGTGGGCCTGGGGCCATTGTCCTCCTGGCTGGTCCCACCATCAGTCACCTGACAGGGCTGGACAAGAGTTGGGCCCTGGCCCCTGCAAGGTTCTATAGGCTGTGAGGCCCTGGGCTCAGCTTTCGGCTCAGATACCTGTTGGTGGAGTCAGCCTAATCTCAGGCAGCTGCTTGGCCCCTTCTGGGAGGCTGTGAGCAGTCAGTGGTCCTGGTGCCTCCTGCTGGGGTGGGGGTGCCAAGCCTGGCCTTGAGTCTGTGCTCTGACACCTCCTGGGGGCTGCTCCCTGGGGTGCCAGCTGCTCCCGCTGTTGCCTGAAGACCCAGAGGCAGCTTACTGCACTCTGATCTGATCCTCTCTCCTGGCTTTTCCACAGAGGCGCTTCCCCGACTTTTCCTACATCACCCAGAATGGCCGGCTGACCGACTTCCTGGACTGCGTGATCATCAGGTGGGTGCCAGGGGCAGGGGGGTGTGACGGTCCTTCCTCATTCCCTGCCCATGGAGGCTGTGGGGTATCACCCACTGGGCCACATGGTCTGCCCCAGGCTGCCTGTGTGGCCCACCTCTCAGGGTGGCAGGCAGCACCTTGGAGCCAGGGCACCTGATGCCGAGCGTACCTGTTGGCTGTGTTCCCAAGCACCATGGACGAGAGCCTGGCTGGCGCCCCTGGAAGATGAGGCCATGCCAGGGAAGCCAGGCCCATAGGGGAAGGCCACTCCACCAGTGCAAAGATGGTGTGTTTCACCCACCGAGCCCAGTGCCACTTCTCAGGCACCCTCCATCCCGGCCTCTCAACAACATTCGTCAACGGTGACTGTGCCCTCCTGCTGGTCTTTGGTCTTAACTAGGCTTCCAGGTCCCAAAATCAGCAGTTCTTCACCTTGAAGGTCACACACACCCTGGTCTTTGCTTGTCCCTCCTCCCCCGACCTCTAGCCCTGACCCTCCCAGCCTTGTCCTCTCTGGGGCCTTCACTGTCTCAGGAGCTTTTGGCTCTGCTGTCTGCCGGTGATGCCAGATGTCAGAGTTGCTGTCCCTGGCCCAGACCTCTAGATTCCTGGTTGAACCACCTGCCTGTCACCTCCCCAGCCTGACAGAGCTGAGCAGAGCTCCTGCCTCCGCTCTGGAAGAGAATGCCACCTGCCACCTGCGTCTTTTCTTCCCTCTTGTCTCACTCTCACATTTCATGCAAATAGTCTGCAGACACTTTCAGGGTCCAGTCCCTCTCGTGAACCCTGACGTTACACCTGGTCTGGGAGCTTGTCTGGATGACTCCTGCTGATGCCCCATCCGTCCCTCTAACACCCAGGGGGTCTGCTAGGCCTGAAGGAGCCCCATCTTGGGAAGCAGCATCCTCAGTTGCTCTGGCTCCTTTTCAGAGGCAGGTTTGCAGCCTGCCTGCTGCCGGCAGCCCTGCCATGCCCTCTGCCCTCCACGCCCTTGGGCCTTTCCCTGGTGCCATCCTGCCTCCTTCCTACCTCGGGTCATGTGCCGCCCTCGCAGGAGGTCGTGCTGACCACCTGCCAGAGACGGGGCTCTCCTCCCCCACACTTGAGTACCCTGCGCTGCCATATAGTCATCCCCAGTGTGTCACCGCCCAAGACATGTTTTAACTGTTGCTTATTGCTCAGCTAGATGTTCAAACTAAGTTCCAGGAAGGTAGTGATTTTTGTGTTTTGCTCATTCCTGACTCTAGTACTCTGGACAGTATCTGACGCATAGTAGGCACTTAAGGAATGAGCCGCAGGCTCAGAGCTGGTGTGGAGTGGCCGGTGGAGGGGCAGTCCCAGGCTGACCTGTGCCACGTCCCCCCAGCCACTTCCACCTGGACCACTGTGGGGCGCTTCCCTACTTCAGCGAGATGGTGGGCTATGATGGGCCCATCTACATGACTCACCCCACCCAGGCCATCTGCCCCATCCTGCTGGAAGACTACCGCAAGATTGCCGTGGACAAGAAGGGCGAGGCCAACTTCTTCACCTCACAGATGATCAAGGACTGCATGAAGAAGGTGGTGGCCGTGCACCTGCACCAGACAGTCCAGGTCAGGGTCCCTGGGTGCCGCAGCCAGTGGTCATCCGCACATTCCTCCCCTTGGCCTGCTGTGCAGTTTCTGGAAGGCCCTGGGGCCTTGGGCTCAGTCAACTCGCCTCTCTCCTGTCCAGCACATGGGGCCACCCAGAGGCAGCAGTGGGCGAGTACATGGAGTCCCAGCCCAAACTTGGCATTGAGCTTGAGGGAGTGTACATGGTG